CCCCTGCCGGCCGCGGGCGCCGGGGCGGAAGAGGGCAGGAGAACGGGAGATGGAGAAGTGGGATGGAGGTGGAAGCTGCTCTGTCAGAAAGAGGGAAGGAGGAGGAGCAGCCGCAGGGCGCCAGACCCTCGAGAAATGTCCTACAGCGCAGTGAGGTGGTTCTTAGTTACCCTGATCTTTACACCCTGCGAGACAGGACCGGGAAGTAGCGGCAGCTAATTAAATTCTCAAAATAGATGTCTGCTTCGCTCTCAACGCGCTTTTAATAGCATAGAAAAAGTGAAATCGTATCGACGTACAATCTGCATTAAAGCACAATTACCTTAAGTTTAATTCTGATATGTGTAAGTTGCTGAATGACCAAGCTGTAAAAAGAAACATGAGGCAAACTTTAAATCTACCGAAAAATAGTTATTAAAATAAACTAGCATAGGCTTAGATGGAATTGCAAAATCAGGTTGTGGTCTTGTTTGTGTTGGTTCTGTGGTCCACATTACCTCCTCGTAGTTTAACAATTGAGCTCATAATACCACCTAAAAATGGTGTGTGCAATGTGTTGCAGATTATTCTGTATTCATCTGCTAACATAAATGCATCTTTTGGCAAAATTCAACTATTACATATTTTGGGAATTTTACAGTAAAAGCTGCTAGGAAATAACGGTAAGCGATGTATACAGATGAGTGGAAAGGTAAATTATATTTAATTGTAACTAGGTGATACACATGATATAGCTGTGAAATTAATTTGTGTTATTCACGCTTACAAACTGTTGAAATATAACAAGATATTTTGCCCTTCTTACAAGATAGTGATTGAAGAGGTCCGTTATCTCTCATATAAAGATGTTACATCTTATCATCATATGTCTGGGTGAGTGTTATTGTTAGGCTTGAATTATTTCCTGTATATAAATAAAAGTTATTTCTTAAGAAGGAAAGAAAAAACTTTCAAGAACTTTTATTCTGAAACTGGTTTGAGGTTTTCTGTGAGCCTGCATTTCTTAATATAGCTGGTTTTTATTTGCACACAGTAGCACTAAGAGACATCCAACAAGCTTGATGCCTTATAAAACTGCTTGTTAGAAGTAGTAAGATACAATCCCTACCCTGAAGCATTTATAGTCTAAATGACACAAGGAAATGCAGTGAATTATGCTCTTGGTTCAAACTGTCTTTTTTTGGATGTGTTCTGAATATGTATTAAAAATGATACTGTATTGATTTGTTGTGCTTCTGTCCTCACTATCTTCTGCCTTGAAGCAAAAATTGACAAAATATGATGCTTTTACATGAAATTTTTACTTTATAACTTTGAAAAGAGATTTTAGGTAAAATTAATTTCCTAGACAAAACTGCAGGAAAATAGCAGTCCTCTTGAAATGGCGCTTTCTGTGGAATTTGGAGAAGCTGAAAATTGTATAAAATGTAATTACAAAAATGTGTATGCATCTCACAGCATCTGATTTTCTTAGGCCTTGCACGTCTTTGCTCCAAGTATTTATACTGAGACTTGGTAAACTTACATGGCTTATCCAAGGTCAGTTAGTTAATAAGTGGGGAAACCAGAGAAGACAACCAGAGTTATGACTACAGTACTCTGACAGAGGAACTACACATAATACTTTTTTATAGCTCATAGGGCTTTTACTAAATAATATTTTGAAAATCGTTGTGCATAATTTATATTAAAATGGGGTGAATGTTTCATATTTTAAAAAAAGCTGCCTGTGTTTTTGTGATCAGGAAGAATAAATAAAGCAACAGGGAAGGTGCAGATTCTCAGCCTCTTCTGTCTTACCTGATCTCACAGTGATAGAAAAGCTCTGGAAAAGGAGAATTCACCTTTGAGAGCTAGGATAATAAATCTCTGCTTGGTTTGCTGCCCCAAGCAAGTGCTGTTCCACAGTGAGTGGCAGTAGCTGGTGCTCAGGATGGCAAAATATCTGTGAAATGCTCAGATTTTATATCTTCCCTTCAGTCTCCTTTGACAGTGGAAAGCATATGAAATCCCAACTGTGAATTAAAACCATCTTTCTGAGTGTAGCTCCACATGTCCTCTCTTATATGTGAGTTTTCTTCCTTATTTTTTATGAGACTACGCAGTTTGCATCTCAATGTGGCAACACAGCTAAATCCAACTTGTTAATGTTTTGATTTTAAACATTTTGACTGAGGCAGGCAAACAGGAGAAAACTGCCATTCTTAAGGTGGAGTGCCAAGCTTCT